GTGATTTATCTCTCATTACAAAATAATTACTTTGTATAAAAAAAAATGACAAACGCTCTTCGTTGTTGTTTGTTAGTAACAAGAAAGAGACAGAGAGAGAGAGAGAGAGAGAGACGGAAAATTTATTTCGAATCGTAATAATAATATTAATTATCATTATTATTATTATTATTATTTATTTGACTTCTCATTTTTTTTTTTTTTTATTATCGAACGAATCGAAATTTCGATTTAAAATCCGGATATTAAAAATGATTAATAATTTATAACGGTGTTCGATAAACAACACCGCGAACGGTTTATTACCCTACGTTACGTCACCCACCCCCACCCCCTTTCGGTGGGTGGCGTAGGGTGACGGGGAGGGGAGGAGGGAGTGGGAGGAAGAGAAAGGAAGGGGAAAAAAGGAAACGTTCTTTGTCCGCGTTTGAACTTTAATTCCATTTTATTTAATTTAATTTTCTTTTTTTTTTTTTTTTTCATGAATGGATTATTCTCGAAACGAGATCGAGATCAACGAGTTTTTTTTTTTTTTCTTATCAATTGATAAAGTCCATTTAAATAATCGAATGAAGAACCCGAAGAATTTTTTTTTTTTTATCCATTTATTTATTTATATGAGAACGTTTTAATCTTTTTTCTTTTTTTTTTAAATTTTTAAAAACGATATCTTGTATCGTTTTCTTTGCATGTAGTTTTATTTTTTTTTCTTCGAACGGGGGGAAGTGGGAAGGTGGAAGGGAGAGGGAAAGAGGGGATAGAGGAGGTGAGAGCATTAATAAATGATCCTTTTTTTTTTATTTTATGCTAACGAAAAAATATATGTATGTAGAAGAAGTAAAAAAAAAAAAAAAGAAAAAGTTTTTAAAGAAAAGAAAGAAAGTGAGAGAAGGGGTAGGGGGATTGTGGGAGATTAGAAATAAAAAAGAAATGTATGAATAAAACATTTGTCGTTGTTAGTGTGTTTTTTTTTCTTTTTTACTTTTTTTTTATTGAAGAAAAGATTGATGACGTAATTTTTAATGTTTTTAACAATAATTTATTTATTTAAAAAAAAAAAAAGAAAATTTCATTTATCATAAACTTGAAATTTTTTTTTTTTTTTAAATAATAATTTTTAAATTGTTTGTTGATTATTATCAATATCGTTATTATCATTCGTAAATTATAATGTAATTGAATGTTGAGAAAAAAATGTTTCATGAGTTTCGTTTGTTTGCTTGTTTGTATTTTTTAAATTCGAATTTGATTCTATTGATAAATTGTTTTCTTTTTTTTCGATTCTCGACCTCGAAAATTAATAATTTCTCTCTCACTCATGTTCTTTTTAACGAAATATATTTTATCGCAAAGGGTAACAATTACAACAAACAAAAAAAAGCAACAACAACAACAAACGGTAAAAAAAAAATTAGCTTTGGGAAATTTAAAAAATAAATGAAACCAATTTTTTTTTTTTTACTAAAATTAATTAAATTAGATTTTATAATTGTTTGTTATCATTATCGACACTTTGTTGTTGCGGTTGTTGTTGTTGTTTTTATAATTTAATAATTTAAAAAAAAAAAATTCGTTTGTAATCAATTTAAAAAAATATTCGATTGAATGAAAAATTTATCATCATCATCAACATCGTGATTTTATAAAAAAGCATTTTGATGTTGTGGCATTTTTTTTTCTTTTATCCCCTCTTTCCCCTCCCCTTTTTCCCTTCTCCCCTTCTCCCCTAATTTTTTTTGTTGTTGACCTTTTTCTCCAGGTTTAACAAAAAAAAAAAAAAGAGGAAAGGAAGGAAAAGAAGAAAATCCATTTAATGCTGTTGCAAATTTAAAAAAAAAAAAACGTTAATAATATTTAAAACGTTTTTCTTCTTCGTAAAAGATTCAACCTTTTTTTTTTTTTTTTGTTAAAGGTTTTGATTGTTGCAAAAAGGTTTTGTTTTTCAATCCTTTTCTTTTTTTTATTCTCTCTCTCTCTCTCTCTGTCTCTCTTCCGCGAAAAAAAAATTGAAATGATTAAAAAATGAAAATTTTATCGTCAATGAATAAAAAAAAAAAAATTTTTTTTTTTTTTTTGTAAATCATTATATAAAAATTTCACAGCTGGAAAATTTTTCCTTTTTTTCCTTTTTTTTTTTCCTTTTGTCCCTTTCCTTTTTTTTTCATTACACGGAAGAATTTTTTTTTATTATTTACTTCGATTTTATTGTCTTCGGGTTACAAAAAATTCATTGGAGATTCATTCCGATCGATTTTTTTTTAAAACGGGGGAGGTGAGTGGGTAGATCGAAAAACCATCTTTTTTCCTCCTTCTTTTTCCCCTCCCCCCTTTACTCTCACAATATTTATTTAACTTTTTTTAACGATTAAAAAAAAAAAATACGTGTTAAATGTTTTAAAAAGGAACAAAACCGATTTTTGTTAAAGGAAATTAAAATTTACTTTTTATAATTTATTTTTATATGCAGGAAAAATTTTAATAATTTTTCTCCTTCTCCCTCCTGCCAGAACGTTTGGAAAACTTTAATTCTAGAAAAAAGGAAAAATCATTTTTTTCCCCTCACTTCCGGGTTATAGTTTTCAATGCATAAATTGTTATGATTGATGGTGTCGATCTTTTTTTTTTATTCATTTTATAAAAATTATTACGAATGTTTTCGATCCTGTTGTTGTCGTCTTTCCGCCATTTTTCTTTTCGTTTAACTCCTTTTCCCGGGAAAAAGATAAAAAATACGTGAAAAGATCCGAAATACAATCGTGACCGGATGTATTTTAAAAAAATTATTCAATAATAAAATTATTCGATTGATTTTGTCGTTGAGAAATTTT